CGCTAAAGTTTCTTCGGAAATAATTTTTATGGAAAATTAACTAACGAACGGAGGCGTAACAATATGTTTTTTTGTTATTATTTTACAAAATACTACTTAATATGGCCCCTAGTGTCACAGCGGCATGTCTGCGGACTTATACTGCTATAAACCGGGAGGGCAGAGCTCAGATAGACTTTTGTGTAGCTTTGTGCTTAATAACAAACAATAACAACAACCACTGCTTAATATTTGTTATTTGTAATATTTAGCGAATTCAAAATTTTGAACTAAAATTGGTCTGCGTTTGTAAACTATTTTGCATAAAAAAATTATCATAATGGTTAGTATGGATGAATTTAATGTGTTTCACTGTTTTTATTTAGAACGTATGTAACATTACTTTATGCGTTTATTTTATAAATTATACTGTAAGTGTAAATTATATTAAAAATCAAGATGAACTTGAAGAACTGGCATTATAATCAATATTGAAATATATACTCTTATAGAATTAAATATCAGCTCTAGAGGGCGTCAAGTACCTGTTGCTATTGGAGCATTATTGTTATATATATATTTTTTGTAAATATTTCACGTAATTTGTGAATTAGTACTACTTGTAAGTAGTGTTAATTTACGTTACGTTAATGTGTAGTCTTAGTGATAAGAAATACAAAAGGTTTAAAATCGTTGTACTATGCCTTGGCTATGTTTGATAAGAGATTAACTGATGATTGTGGTAAGCTCAAATGATTTTAACCCTTATTTTATTTATGATTTATTTTATAAATTATATTGTAAAAAAGTGTAATTTGTAAGTGTAAATCGTATAAATATTATAAAAAATATATAACCAGAACTGGCAGAAGGAAGTGATTAACGCAACAGTAACAAAGCATTATTGCAACTCGCAGTAATACTTATATGTTATAGTTATACTACTAGTGACGATAATATGTTAATATAACATACAAACTCCAAAGAGTCTTATTTAATTACCCAAATTAGCGGAAAGAACCCAAGAGGAGATATTTTAAGATAAAAAAACGTTACTGAAAAAAAAAGTTCTGTACTAAGATGCTACCGTTAGAAGATAGAAATTGAAGTGAAAAAAAATTCCCACACACAAATTTATTATTTAAACCTATGGTTTCCTAGTAGGTGTGTGGTAGTGTACCCATAGGGGTTCACAAGACTTTTTTTTTTTTTCTTTCTTCTTCTTCTTCATAAAAACGCCATAAAGAAAATAAATCCTATGCCTCAAAATAGAAGGGAAGTCTTGGTGAAGTTCCAAAATAGTCCAGTACTCAGAACCTAGTATTTGCATATTTTGGTCTGATCCTTGAATTTTTTTTTATTTACCTTTTTATTGACATAAACCACTTTATAAAAAAAATTGATGTCTATCAAGAATATGCCACTAGCTGAAAGGTCTGACTAGGGTATGTAACATGAAAAGATTGGTAACAACTGACTTAAACAATACCCATAAAGTAAAATTGAGTCCCAATACATACACAATCACAACATCAAAAAACAAGAACACAAAGACAAAATCTATGAAAGAACAAATGTCAAATAAATATAGTAACAAAATGATATCCATAAAGTAAAATAAAGGTCAAAAGAAAATTAAACTTGTTAGTTACAAATGGTGTTTTGACAAGGAAACTTTTCTCAATATCTTTATGCTTATAAATTTGTATTCAATTACCAAATTTTTACTTTAATAAAATGGGTTCTTTTGGTTCCTTTGGGGTAATTAGAAGAAGGACTGTCCTACAAGTTGTGCTACGGTTCACTCTTGAAGTTTAGCACTACTTGTGCTAGTACTTTTAGAGCGATAAGTGATATTACTAACTAAAGTAAAACTAAAACAAATAAAAGTAAAATAGACTGCTGTGTTACTGTAATATTAGTACATCTGATGCTACTATTGTAATTGTAAAAAACTCAAATGGTATTGGTATTCTTCCTATTGCTAGAGAACCAAAACTGCATACAGAATGCTAATTGAGACTTCATCTGAGGTTTTAATACGTTGTAGATTACAATTATCTTTCACTCGTAAATTTGAAATTTCTATATTTAGATTTAAGAAATCTATTGGCTCATTTCATCACACATAAACACAAAATTTTTTCAGCAATCGCACCCTAATCCTTTTATATTTTGTCAACACTAATCTCTTCCTAATGCATGAAGTAAGTCTTTTTTTCTAGATTTCAAATACCAAATGCAATACATCACACACTTTAAAAATTGAAACTCATATTTCCTATTTTGATGCAGCTACTATGACTATTCCTGTGCTTCTGAATGAGTGAAACATTACTAATGGCATCATCCATTTTCACACTTTTTCTATCATTAATTCTGTATTCTATTAGATACATATAGTAAGTAGGGCCCTTTATGAATCTAATGTGTGACCTTCACTTGTAATCTATGTCATTTATTGATGAAAAATTGTTCAGTAAGATAATTTAATTTGTTAATGTTGTGAAAATTGATACTTAAAAAACATTTGATTTTTGGGGTTCAATAAGCTTAGTGAATTCTCATAAATATAAAGCATACATTCCTTATGTGAAGTGTATTGTCATATACATCTGGTAGAGTAACATGTAAAATTTCACCTCTGCACATAGAATAGCATGCTTCCTTTTCACATCTGGCTATGAAATTTGCATGCCATTAGCCTTGAGCTACCTTCCACCTGAAACACAAGTGTTTAACATGAACTGTGCTAGTGCAGGATATCATCATGGAATGATAGCCCTCCACCAATAGGAGGGCAACACAACCTCCTTGCATAGTAGATCCCCTTCAGCACTCAAATTAACTTCATAATTTTTTTCAGCATTGTCTATAATGGATATGTTCCAAAATTTTTTAATCAGTTACTTGAGGTATGCAATAGTTTAAGTTAATTTTTGTTCAGGTTTACTTGGTTTAGTGTTCATGTTTTTCACATAATCATTGTGGTTTCTTTAATTTCACTAATATAAAAACAAAACAAAAACATTTGGTGATTACTCACCATTACCCATTACTTTTTTTACTACACAAAACCCATAGTCAAGATTACTTTTCTTCCCTCCTTCACCTGATACTAGGGTCCATGTGGACTTGTTTCTCAAACAACTCAGCATTTGTACTAACATGATTCATCATCCTTGTCTACTTAACTCTTTTATTCTGAATAACAGTCATTCTTCATTTCTGTTATCCAATTCCCAGTCTTTGGAATCTCTTTTACCTGCTTGGGGTAGACCACTTAACTTCTACTTCCCTTTCTAGTGCCTAATTTTCAAACCTTTGTCTGTTTCTTACCACCCTCTTGTGTTATCTCTCATCACTTCACATTATTTAAGAGGCATTTCATTGCTTTCCAGAGGGATTGTTGGAGAAGTTTTTTCTCTTCTTTTCACCACATTGCATTGCAATTCCTCTTCTGCTCTATCCCTCCTTATTTGGTTCCTCTGCTGTTGGGATTGCAATTCTTCTTCTGCTCTATCCCTCCTTATTTGGTTCCTCTGCTGTTGGGACTTATTGGGATGAGATGCTCTCGTAGCTAATGTACTCCTCCTTCACACTTATCTCCATTATCTTTGTCAGGATCCTTTTCTTCATCCAAAGGTTTTGGGTTTTTTCTGACTCACTGGAAACCTGGGCTAATCTAGGCCCAGCATTAGTTTTATTGTTTACTTTGGTTTCTCTTCTTTGTTAACCTCACCCCACTGTTTCTGCTCTAGGCCAGCTGAATCCATGTTTCCCCTTCCCATTCCAGTGTCCTGTCCTTCCACTTTCTGATGTTATGGTCATCACTTGTCTTGTCAGTGACAACCCTGTCTGGTATGGCTCTATGGGAGCCTGCCTGGCTCTCCTCACCAGTATTTGGTCTCATTTTCGGCCAACAGTTGGGTTCTTCAGACTTTCACCCATGACTTATCTTTCCACTTCTCTTCTCCTCCCCCTTCCAGATTTTCTGGTTTTCTTTCCTCCTCCCTTCAGTCCCATTTATCTTCAGCATCACAAGGATGTGGTCTCAGATCTCTTGACCAAGAATACCATTGAGAGAGTATTTACCCCTATTCTGAGTTGTACTCTGGGTTATTACTCTTTTCTCTTTGTAGTCAAAGGGTTCTTTGATGCTTTTTCTTGCCTCTTTGCCTCTTGAGGACAGTGTTCCTACTCCAAATCTCTATCTGGATTTAATTACTCAGGTTTGTTTTTTACTTTTCCTTTCTCCTATGTCTTTTGATTCTTTCTATTCCTTATTACAACTCTCATCTGAAAATGATTTGATTTTCCTCCTTCTCCAGACATACAAATCCATGTTAACATGTTTGGGAATCAGCTTTGTTTTCAGTTTCAAATGCCTTGTCCTCCTCAATGTCAGAACTCCTTATGGCCATTTCCATTTTCCATTCTTGGATTCCATTTCCCCAGAGTGCCTTCTACCCACATGGGGGACTGATCCTCTGTCTCCAATAACACTCTCCAGTGCTCAATTTTTCCTGTCTTTGCCTTTTTCTAACCTATCTTCTTTGTTAGCTATCTTCTCTTCATCCCCTATCTGAAGCTCTACAGCATGATCTTGATAGTTTTCTGGATTTTTACAGTTAGTCCTTTTCAACACCTTGGCCAGGGTTTCATCTTCTGCCTTGTTCATGCTTACTTGGTTCCTCTGTTTTAGGGACATTCTGGATTGTGATGCTCTTCTCTCTATCATTTGTCTTCTCCACTCTTACTATTGTGACATCCATGTGACTCTTCTTCTTTGTCTTGAATTCTTCGAAGGTGTTTCTAATGCATTGGAGACTTAGGCCAAACCTGCCCAAAACCTATCCCCTCTTTTCCATCTTTCACAGCCTTGTGAGAACACTCATGTTCCTTAACCCCATGAATCCTCTACCTCTTGCTCTACCACTTGCCACTCCTTCCTGTCCAATTGGCCACCATATTTCTACTTGATGACTCCCTCCCTTTGTACCTCTATAGGAGCACATCTGTTTATGTTTACAGACCTTTGGACCCATTTTGAAATTGACTTGTAGGTCATTCATATCCTTACACATGGCTTTTCTCTTCACTTCTCATCCCTTCTGTTTCCTATTTTTCTTTTCCTTTTCCTTCTAATCCTCAGCACCTTCTGTGTATCAAGGACATGGCATTGGATTTTTTTTTTTACATGAGAGCCACCATGAGTGTCATTTACTTCACCCCAGGGTTTTATTCTTGCCTCTTTGTTGTTCCTAAAAAGATAGAGGATTGGCATTCTGTCATTGACTTTTCCTCTCTCCCAACCACTATCTGGTATTTCCTTTGTTCAAGATGGAGAGATTTCTTCCTCTCTGTTCCTTTCCCCTAGTCTATGGATGAACAAGTTTGACATCTCAGATACCTTTCTCCATGTTCTGATTGTCCTGTCTTTATGTTGTTTCTTTCATTTTGTTCACCAGGCTAGGTGTACCAGTTTTGAGCTCTCTCCTTCAGCATAGCTTCAGCCACTTATGTCTTCAACTGAGTCAAGGAAGAATTTTCTCACCATGTACATAGATTTGTACTTCATTTCCGTTGATAACAGAACAACTGGATTCTTCTTGTCTCTTCCTGGCTACCTCACTTCTTCTGCAGTATCTTATCTGGGTTGGCTGGTGAAGTTTTCCAAGTCGTTCCTGATTCTGACTCAGTACTTGCCTTACTTTAGAGTCTTTTTTAATTCTCAACAAG